CGCGCAACCACTGTCGCGTTGCTCCGCGACGCGCCGCGCCGCGCCGAGACGAGACGAGACGAGACGAGACGCCTGCCCGCCCGCCCTGCTGCCGATGTCAAGAAACGGCACCGATCGAACGGTCATTGACTAAAGGCTTCGACGGTAAATAACCTTACGCCCGTTACCATAGACGCGCCTTGAGCGTTTCCACGAGGCAGCGACGTTATTAAAGAAGGCCGATAGTTTTTCGATATTACATAAGCGATCCATCTTTAAAAATATTGCGAACTTCAGCCGCAACATTTCCGAAAACTTTTTATTTGTGTGTACGTGCTCACACACGCGCGCGCGTGTATGTCAGATTTTTTTAAATGCCACTTAGAAACGTGATTTTATTTTGGATGAATTTACGGCTTTATTATGAATTAATCACAGCCGAATTAGCAATATATGAATAGATTGATATTATGACTAACATTTTATAAAAATTCGTAACTTCGGATTAATAATTATTATAGCAATAATTAATGACATTTGTTTAAAATTTGTTTGAACTAATAGTGCATAAAATTATTCATTTTCTTGATGTTCGTATATATAAATATACTATTAAAGGCAACGATTTCTTTTGTACGTTCGAACAAAAGCCAGTAACAAATACATTTTTAAATAAGGACGCCTTGTCCGTAGGATGAATTTTTTTGGTTAGTATAAATAAAAAAATATAATATTATTGGCTCGAAGGTGGCATCGGAAACGCGTCAAAATCATGATCCGCGCAATCTAGAAAAGGAGCACAAAATAAAAGCGTCCGCTCTCACACGATCCGCGCAGATCGTTTCTCGGAAGAGCCGCTATCGAGTCGTGTAAATCTAAAACGCATTCGAGCTCGTACTTTTCGACTCGTTCTCATATCCGATGAAATTCCGAATTTTGCGCTTTCATCTCGAAATCGCTTCACTCGCAAATCTGTAAATTGGACTTTGTAAATATTCGTGTACATATAACTGCAAATAATTAAACTTCTCGTGTCGTCTCATAATTCGTCCTTCACGGCTCTCGATTGCTCCGAGCCGAAGCAGTATTTAATTAACAGTGAACGATTGACACTTTACGCCGTTATCTCGAAAAATCCCGAGATTCATTTAGCAATTAGGTGATATTCCCTTCTAAAAAAAACAACCATACTTTTGTCAGATTAGTATCCTTCGGTAGTACGGCACTTGGGGGCTATCGTTTCGCGTACGATAAAAGGCCCGATCGTGTTATCGCGGCGCGGAGGACGTTGCTTTGTTCGCGAGCCTGCTATGTCAGACAAAACGGATATCATACGGCCGAGTAAAATGAGGAGGATCCCACGGACAACTTGCACATTTTATAATGAGCTTGCTGCTGATTCGCTGCAAAAAAAAGAGGATAAGGTGCAACGCGGGGCAGAAAATCGGCTTACGGAGAAACGTACGTAGGAGTTAGCCAAGCGGATTTCGCTAACTGCATTTACGGTTGTCGCTCTCTTCCGTGACTCATTTTTATTCTTCTCTGATATTTTCTTTGTTACTCTTTTTTTTTAACGGTTTCTTTTTTTCAAACGAGACAAAAAGTTTTACGCACAAATATGCAAATTGTAATTCCAACTACGTGGAATATAATTTATTTTTCGCAAAGCTATATGTATACTTTCGAAAGTTAAAAGAGATGCTGTGGGAACACGTCGTATATATAACTATATATGTATCGCGTCGTCGGATTCGACAAACAAAAGCGTTTATCTTAACGGTGGCGATTACGATGTTGCTTACCGCTATATGTTACATTTTAAAGCGGTCGCGGTGATTGCCAATGGCAATACTTGTCTTTTCCCATTGTGCCCAGGCAACGGTAACAAATAAGCCGGGCGACAAAGCGACGTAAAGGGCACAAAGGACGTCAAAGCGGCTCGCTCGTGCGCCTACCTGTCGAAGCCGCCGCGCGGCGGACCACAGGGAGCCCGGCGCGGTGCGGCCGGCGTTTTTCTCGTCTCTCTCTTTCTCTCTCTCTCTCTTTCTCTCGCCGAGCCGAGCCGACGCTTCCTCCGACCGTCCTTACGCCGATGTCACTGACCCGAGTCCGTATCTCGATGCACAAGAATAAGGAGGAGTAAGGAGGAGAAAGAGGCGAAGGAGTGGAAGGAGAAGGAGGAGGAGGAGAAAGAGGAGGAGGAGGCGGCACGAGATTCCATCGTCGTAGTCATCGTTTGTCGTCACCTACGGCTAACCGCCGCCTGGCCACCGCCGCCGACGACGAAGACGCGAGACGACGGCGGCGGCGGCGGCGGCAGTCGGAAAGCGACGCAACAGCGTCGCACCGGTGCAACTACGATAGCATGGAGCCGCGCCGCGGCTGGCCTGGCCCGTGGCCCGGCTTGTTCCGGCCCGGTCCGACTCGCCTCGACGCGGTGCGGCGCGGCGCGGCGCGACCGCGACGCTCCCGAAAGTGGGGAGAGAAGACCTTGAGCTGCGTCACGTGACCCCGAAGGTGCATAGGAGCCGGGTAGGGCGGTCGCGGAGGGCCTTGAACTTACCGCCGACGTCGTCGAAGCCGGCGTCGTAAGTCGTAACTATCGCGCGCGCCGCGCGCGCGCACGCTCGCGTTCTCTCGAGTTTAGAAGAGAGACGACTCGCGCGGGGATAGGAACGCGACACTCGGGGCATGTGCGTAGTACTATCGTGTACAATCTCCCGTATTCGCTTCTTTTCTTTTCAATTCACATTCGCTCGAATAAGATGAGAGGGAAAGAGGGAGCGTGTATATAGATTCCTCTCTCGCGCGATCGTATTATACGCTCGCACTCGCTCGGCGCATGTATGTACGCTCGTTTCCGAAAACGTAGACCGGCTCCGGTATGCGACCTGCACTCGCGCGCCCGCGAGGGGCTACCTGCCGTCGCCGCCGCTGCGCCTGCGAGCGACGGCGCGGCGAGGGACGGCGCGGGTGCCAGGACGACACTCCGCGGTATCGCGCGACGAGGAGAGACCGTACACCGGTCTCCCGATATGCTCGACCGCTCGTCCGTCCCGCTCGTAACTAACGTTGTTACGTTACGTTCTCGTGGCACCGTCGTCGGCGCGTTTCGTTTGAAACCTCGCGATAACTAAGCCCGAGTCCGCGAGAGGTACGGTTACCGCGTTTCACGTGGTGCGTCGTAGCACCGTGCGCTTCTGCATGTGAACAAGATAGCCCCGACTGCAGTGGACCTCGCTGCGCGTCACGATGCGTAAAATAAGTATAGAATTGTAGAACGAAGCTACATTTCTTGTAACTCGTCTTATGCCGCCTACGACGGGGAATGAAAGGGGATTGTGTAAAAGTTGTCAGTTTAAAACTGGAAGAAAGCGCGTATGTCGTCGTTAAAATAAATTTTGAAAGTAATCGTCTATCTTAAAACTGTTCTACTGGTCGATCTTTGCAAAAAAATGCGAATAATTTTCTTGTTGTCTACGCGTGATGTAATAGAAATTAAAAAAAGTCCTACTGAATCGAGTTCAATAGCGAATCTTGTTCCAGATTAATTTCAAATAGATATCTTTAAATTGAAGAGAAAGGAAATTTAAGATTTGAAATAAACGTTATAAAAATTCGCTAGTCGGTCCGGAATGTAGACAAATTAAATATTTATTAAGAAGAAAAATCGATTTCTAAACTTTCCAAAACTTCTGTATTATTATTCAGGTCCGCGCACAACAGACTACTTTATATAACAAGCAAAGTCGCGAAACAGCGAGAACTGAATTATTTCTTTCGAGGACACGTCACACGAGTTTGCAAGGTGTTAATCGTTAATATATGGTGCTCGCGCGTTTCATGCAGGCTCTCTGTATACACACGCCGGCGCGTATATATATATACGCCAGTTGCGTAAATTATTTTAATTATCCGAGCGGTTTACGCTTCAGAGCGTGTGACCTAAATGAACGATTTTGCAATATAACGCTCAGTTTGAAAAGGGACCGATAGCGAAGTTAACGTAAGTCTAAACGGCGTAAGTGTTTGCCTGCTTTCCAGTCGAGCGCCGATCGGAAACGACCGTCGAGGATTTGCGACCCGCGACGCGGAGACACGCGGGAGGTTGATCTTTGCTCTTTTTTTTTCAACGACCGATCGCGCTTCCTCTATGTACGCTTTCTCTGTCGCACGATCGACCGAGCGACTCGTCCCGCACGCATTCGCAGCACCATGTGCGGGCGTGAGTGAACGCGTGTGTTTCCGCGCGAAGGTCGTTCGGCGGTTCCGCGGGACCGGAAGTGGGCCGGCCTTGCGGCACGGCCATCGGCGTAACCTTGCAGACAAGAGAGAGAAAGAGAAAGAAAGAGAAAGAGACTTGCGACTGTGTGTCAGCGCTCGCGAAATCGCGTCTAATCGTGCGACTGGATTTTTGGCGGACATAATCGCGCGATAAATTCATCGATTCGATACTTGATTATTTCTGAGCCGAAGTAGGAGTTTAAAGGGAGTTCTGTATTCTTGCGAAACCTACGTTATTGCGTGATTATTGAATACTGTGAATTGGAAAGTATACGCAGGAATTTTATGTAATCGGACTTTCCGTTTGAAAAAAAAATTCCCACTTGGAACTTTTCAACTGAATTTGGAATTGAATTTGCACTAAAACGCGAATTCGATTTAAAGAAATGAAGAATTATTTTATATCAAATATTGAGTGAATTTAATGTTTTGTAAACGAGCAATCCTGTTAAAATAATAACAGATAAAACAGATTCTTTCAGTAATTAATATTTTTGCCTAATATTTTTTACATTAACATTGATAATAATTAATATTTTTATTTAATATTAATATTTTTTTGCATAAGATTAATGATTGGGGAGTGCATTAATAGTGAAAATTAATGTGCAGCTAATGATTTATTTGAAGATTCTTCTTCAATATAAAAAAAAGTGCTGCGAATAAAATGTTATATAGCGTAGCAATAGAAAATTTACGTAAACACATAAAGAATTGTATTCATTTTTCTTTTTCAGTGATACGGAGCGTGCGTAAAATTGGCATTAATCGTGCACACGGCCACACGTAGCTCCCGATAATTCGCAGAGGCGACAATAAGAGGGCCCGCCGTAAGGATGCTGTACGCTTACGCGAAGATCGAGAGGCCACGAGTCGTGTCACGAGCCTGCAGCAGCGTAACCAGCTGAGAATGTCAGAGCAAAACGGGCCCAGCGAGGGCCCAGGGCCAGGACCCGGTTCGGACTCGAGCTGGTGGCCAACCACGCAGACTTGGAAGTCGTCAGCGGCCGCCTCGTCGTCGACTGCGTCGATCCCGACTTCGGCGGCGGGCTCAGCGTCCGTCTCTGTCTCCTGCTCCGCGTCCAGCTCATCCTCGACGAGTTCCTCCACCTCGATCAACTCGTCCGCGACCTGTTGTCCCTCATCGTGCATCGGCGTGTCCTGCACGATGAGCCCGAGCCGTTCCACGGAGACGGGGAAAAACGTGTCCGTCACCACGATTAACGTACCGCCCAATCAAGAAATGCACGATGGTATTACTCGACTCTTACTCTTTACGAGATTTCCTTAATGTGGCAAACGCAAAATGATTATTCGAAATAATCTCTTTCTGATGTACGATATCGGTCAAATATTAATGAAAAAGCCTCTAATTGGTTATGTAAGTAAACCTGGCATGTTTCAAAAAATAATTTATATTAATTTTAATAATTGACGCAAATCTATATATTATATTAATTATTTCAAGAAAGCGTTTATTTATACATTTTTGTATTAATATCGAAGTTAGATTATTAGAAATTTTTTTCACGAACAAACTTCTTTTCTCTAAGCGATAAAATTTGTAGTAACATTGACTATACATAATGCAACTATGATTTTAGGTAAAGGGGTATGTAAATATCTCGGGGGCCAAAACGGCGTGACGGTGTCGGTGGTATCGACCTCGGTACTGGGATGCGGAAACGCGAATGCCGTCCCGACAAGCGGAATCTGCACGAATACGGGGCCGCATAGTATCGGCATCGGAATTGGTGGCATCCTCGCCGCGAACGCGGCCGACATCGATGATCCCGAGGATAGCGACGGTGAGATTAGCAAGATTGACTTTAGAGGCGTCAATCTACGTTCGAAGAAGAAACGCGACGTATCGGGTAATCAGAATGGCGACAAAATCGGTGACGGAGACGCGAACGGCGACGGCGGGGGATGCTGCGATGACAATTCGCAACAGCAGCCTGAGAGGCCTATGTCGTGGGAGGGTGAACTATCGGACCAAGAAATGTCTTCCAATACAATTACTAATCAGGTTAGATTTATCGAATTATATTAAGATCACCGACAAAGATTTTGGCTGAGTTCGACCGATTGTATGTTTATGTTTATTTAAGGAGGTGAAAGAAAAGTGTAACAGAGATTTTTAAATACAAAGAGAAATAAACTGTTACAAACCCTGTATATATTAATATTTGAAAATATTTATAAAAATTTTTGAAGAATCATATTGTAATTGCAAAGAATATGTTTATTTATATGGAAGTGTCAAATATATAAACTTATATTCTTTTAAGCAAATTTGATTGTTAATTGAAAAACTACTTGTGGCTATGTTACATAAATGAAAATTGCAAGTTGCCTACTGCTTGATCGCTAATATACAATAAAGTCACAATCAGTATCAATCTATTTATTATTTATGTTATGATTTGTATGAGATAATACAGTCAAATTTTTAATATAGACATTTTACTTAAATTTTAATTAAATAATTATAGAAATTTAAATTATTAAAAATATATAGAATTGTGTAATGTGTAAAATTTCAATTGACTATTGATTTTACTTTAATTATATAATTATATAAATTATATGATTATAGAAATTTAAAATATAAAAAATATATAGAATTGTGTACATGTTAAAATTTCAATTAACTATTGATTTTAGGACCACAACGAGGAAACGTCCATGGAGGGGGTTCAAGTATGCAGCACGAGTCCTGGGCCTATGGAACAGAAGTTCCCAATTAAGTCGGAGCCGGATTTTCGATCTAGCCCAGGTTTCACAATAGGATCCTTTCACGACGGTGGACTGCCCATAACACACAATCAACAATTGCAGCAACAACAACAGCAACAACGCGGTATCGAAAATCTCGAACAGACTCAACAGAGCGACCTACCGTTGCTCGTAGGCAAGCTTCTCGGTGGATACAACAACTCAACGCCTAACCACAGTCCTGTTCTCAATCCGCGACATCATCTAACGAAACATAGTCATACTAGATCGCAGGTGAGCTAACACAACAACCTATCTAAGTACTGTATCAACTTCTGAGTATCATCAACTCGTTAAACTTATTATATCGACATGTTTATATTTTAACTTTCGAACTCTCGCAGGTGCCGTCACCAGATTCCGCCATTCATTCTGCGTACAGCGTCTTCAGTTCACCGACACAGAGCCCTCACGCGGCACGGCACTCCGCCCTAGGAGCGGGTAGTCCGATACCCTCCTCGTCATTGTCCCTCTCTCGACACAGCTTCAACAACTCGACTTCCTCGTTATCCCTGTCGCTGTCGCATTCGCTTTCGAGGAACAACTCCGACGCTTCCAGTAGCTGCTACAGCTACGGCTCGCTTAGCCCGCCTACGCATTCACCCGTCCAGCAGCCGAGACATCCGCACTCGCACTCGCAGCATCATCAGCATCAAGTGGCGCAAGGTAGTCCGCTGCATCTACCAGCCTCGTCCGCCGTTGCCGCACATCATTACTCGTCCTCTTCCATACCAGGCTCGGAATTGTCGCCGGACGGCCATCCCGTTGCGGAGGATCAGGAAGACTGTAGGATACCTTCAGCGCCGTCGGGTATCTCCACCAGGCAACAATTGATAAACAGTCCTTGCCCGATTTGCGGCGACAAGATAAGCGGCTTCCATTACGGCATCTTTTCATGCGAATCATGCAAGGGCTTCTTCAAGCGCACCGTCCAGAATCGCAAGAACTATGTGTGCCTTAGAGGCGCAGGCTGCCCGGTCACCGTGGCCACGAGGAAGAAGTGCCCGGCCTGCCGCTTCGACAAGTGCCTCAATATGGGTATGAAGCTCGAGGCGATCAGGGAGGATCGTACCAGAGGCGGTAGAAGCACTTATCAGTGCACCTATACTCTGCCGGCAAATCTCGTCGGCAGCCCTGCCGGCGGTATGACCAGTGAGAAACTGACGACGGGCAATTGCAGCCCGGCACCGGCCGGCAGCGAGCACCATTATTCCGTTAGGTATCATTCAAATCATTCTCACAAGATGCAAGTAGTACCTCAACTTTTGCAAGATATCATGGATGTGGAGCATCTTTGGCATTATAACGACAACGATCGGGTAAGCGGCAGTGGAGGGATACTTGGTAGTGCAAGGAATGCCGGTGGTGATAGTATGCTGCTCGGCGGACCCGGAAGCGGCCTGGCGTCCAGCGGCACTGGAACCGCGACTGGTATTGTCGCTGCCGGAAACAACGGGGGTGCAGTGGAATGTTCGTCGAATGACTCTGGCAATGTCGATACTAATAGCAGAAGAGTAGAGACGGCGAGCCCCATCGATTCGACCTTAACGGGGGCGTCCGATCAACATTCCACAAATGGCAATATCACTAATAATAGTAATTCTCAAATTGCCAGTAATTCCAACGGTAATTCGGCGCAGCATCCAGACTTTCTATCGAATCTGTGCAACATCGCGGACCATCGGCTCTATAAGATTGTCAAGTGGTGCAAGAGTTTGCCATTGTTTAAAAATATTTCCATCGACGATCAAATCTGTTTGCTGATCAACTCTTGGTGTGAGCTACTACTTTTCTCGTGCTGTTTTCGCAGCATGAGCACTCCCGGTGAGATAAGGGTATCTCTTGGCAAGTCGATTACTCTTGAACAAGCAAGACAGCTTGGTTTAGCGACTTGCATCGAGAGGATGCTCGCTTTTACCAACAATCTGCGAAGACTGAGAGTAGACCAATACGAATATGTTGCAATGAAGGTAATTGTCTTTCTTTTCGATATTAAAATCCTCATTTTCAGTTTATATTTACTGTAGTTTTATACATTTGCATCGAAATTGAAAGTAACATTTGTATCGGACAAATATAATCTAGATTGTATTAAATGTAGTATTGTGAAGATGAAAATATGATCCAATTGATTTTTTATTTACAGCAACACACTGAGAATGAATAGATCATTAATATTTTTTATGTCTGTTTTTTTTTTTGGAAATTAAAAGGGGATCGTGCTGTTAACTTCCGACACAAGCGAATTAAAGGAGCCCGAGAAAGTCAGAGCTTCTCAAGAAAAGGCACTGCAAGCACTGCAGCAATACACACTCGCGAGGTACCCGGAAATGCCTGCCAAATTCGGTGAACTATTGTTGAGAATTCCAGATCTGCAAAGAACATGTCAGGCAGGAAAAGAATTGCTCAGTGCAAAACGCGCCGAGGGAGAAGGCAGCTCGTTTAACCTTTTAATGGAATTGTTGAGAGGAGATCACTGAATTGTCAGCACAGTGAACTATGCCGTAAGTGCAGTAATAAATAATTGTTTGTTTTTTGTAGTAACAAAAAAAAACAAAATTGCTTTAAATAATTTAAATTAACCATTCTATTGATTATTGCAGAATTGTAATCGGACTTTTGTTTTTTTTTTTCCAGATTCCACGCTTATAGGGTCCATAAGCTTAGGGAATCGGATATTAATAGATAATCGCAGAGTAAGAAAGATTAGGAAAAAAAAGGGGCGGCAGATGTAAGGTCTATAGTGACATTTAGTACTTGGTGAGGGGATTGCATTCTTCGTAATTAGGACGCATTAACGTAACAAAAGATGAAAGGAATTTTTTTATTTTACACCGGAATGCTTCCATACAGGTTGTGCATGTTCGCATTCCTGTTTTTTTTTTTAAACAAACGAATTTCGAAGCGGCCTACAATGTATGCCGGATCCGTATGTTCCGCATACAGGTAGATGCTAATGAGACTGAAAGTTTTATTGAGACGGAGACACGCAGAGCATTTACTTTTACAATGATAAGCGTTGTATAAATACGGAGATGGTATCAAATAGCATTAAAATGCTAAATTCTATTAGATTGATGTAATCTATTCGAGCGCGAGCTTTATAGTGGCGGACGCGGATCTATAAGCAAAGTTGATCTTTAATTAGCGATTATAATATATAGAACAACCAGTATTGCGTATCGTTCTGCGCTTACTTAAGAACAGAGCATAGCCATGCCTTATCTATCCCGGTTATGAAAGTGTACTTAAAACTTAATACATCAGTCGACCAATTGTCTACTTATAGAGCAGTTAATCATGGAATAATTAGTTAATATGCTTAATTAGTATATATATCGTCCACAGAATATGTGGTTTATCGATCACACAAAATACATTTTTTATTCTCTTTATATGTTTTAACAGCTTGCCAACAAAGAAAAAAAAACGAAAATTTCAGTTGGCATAAAGTATCGTAAAAATTTCCAAAATAACATCAGCAATACATATAGCTGCTATCTTTTTTGTAAATATATATTTTTTTAAGGAAGGATTGGCTAATATATTTGGCTTTTCCGTTTTTATTTGTAGAAAGAATTTTATTTTTATTGAGTATTATCTAAAGCATAAAAACAAAATGGCAAATTAGATTATATGTTATATATACATGTTTATATATTATATATATATTTATATTATATATTGTTTTACATATGTCTTCATGATCGTAATATAATTTTCAGAATTTATTGGTTTGCGTTTCATTTAATCAATGATAAATTTTATTAAAGCTCCCATTTTCTCATTGCAATTATACGGAATTATGATATCGAAATAAAAAGCGAATTTTTTCCTTATATAAATCGAAATAAATACATTTTTTGCATGCCATCATATACGTTTTATAATACAAATTGATAAAATACATATATCAAATATTCTTATTAAAATTCGGAAATTAATAAATAGCTAATTAATAAAATCTTGATCGATTATTTATATTTTTGTTTAATGTTAATGTACATGTGTTTGAATTATACATGTATTTATTAATACGTGTATAATTAAATTATAAAAAAGGGAGTTTTCATATTATATCGATTTGTTATTGAACGTGAATGATGTCTGAAAAAAATAAATTTATTTTAAATGCAAAAAAATGATCTTGCATAGTACAAGAAAAATTCGCTCGATTTTATTTTTGATATCATAATATAGATGTAATGAGAAAATAGTAACTTTAAAAATTATCAAATTTTATGCTAATATGGCGAAAGGACGTTTATTGATATATTGTAAAAAATTGTAAAGTTATAAAATTATTAAAATTAGTATATTTGCCAATCACGCAATTATTATTTTTGTTATAACATTCTGAAGTATGATACAGGCTATCAATCAATACTAATATTTGAGACGAAATATTACTTGAAATTTATATATACACTGGTTGTATACGTATACGTAAATGAATAAAAGAATGATTAGCTATTGATAAATTTTTATTTGTCTCTGTGTGAATTTTACTAAATTTATATTTACAGTATAGTACCGAAATTATTTTTCAATAATTTTTCTTGAGCGTGGGACATAGTTTTTTAATACAGGAAAATAAAATGTGGTGCATTAATTATGAATCAGCATGATTCTTTTACTAAGTCAAGGAACGAAAATATTTATTTTTTCTCTTGAAAGAAATGCATTATGAATGTCGCTTGAAAGATGCAGCTATAAGCTTGCGTGCGAAACGAATTGATCTCTGTTGTTGGTACTTTAACGAGACTGTCGTATATATTAGCACATTGTCCTTTGTACATTGTTTAGTCTTTTTCTTTATTTGTTGTCTACGATTCTATAAAAAAAAAAGCACGTGAAGGGCATCCCAGGAGACACTTAAAAAAATACTACTGATTCGCGCAATACTTAATATAAAGATAATTTATAAGAACCGTCTTCCCACATTTCTATCAATTCTAAAAGTAATTTATCACCCTCTCACAATGTATATGCGCACACATATCATTCGCGTAACTACTGAATGATTCCCTTCTTTAAAAGTTCATTGTAAACAACTGTAACATTGAAATCGTTGATAATAATGTGTACATCTCATCATGCACAATAATAGTGATAATGTATCGGAAAATATATTAGCCAGTATTTTGGACGATTCTTTGGATGTGGTATTGAATGAATATTGAATTTGTATTGAAATAAAAATATTTCAAATCGGATGTTTAGTTTGATTAGAGATTTTAAAGATGCAACGAAAGTAACACGCTGTAAATATAAAGAGAAAGAATCATATTTTGTTGTGACGAGTGTGTGTGTGCAGAACGCGTGAAGAAAGTGGGAGGAAAGAAGGAAAGAGAATGAGAGAAAACGATGGAGGGGCATGCGAGTATGATATACTTGTAATAAAGCATATATAAAAGTCGACTTAAGCGAAATAATATGAAAGTAGAATTACAAAAAGATAAATATTTACCTGTTAAAAAATGACTATTCTATGTTTATGTTTGATAAATGCTATTTCTACATACTTGAATGAGATACTTCTGCTGTAGCTCAGTGATAATCGTCTTTATTTGTGCGCACGCGTGTGTGATGTGTGGTGTGTGTGTGTGTGTGTGTGTTGTGTGTGTGGGTGACGCGATGAAAGAATTTGCTTAATTTTTTCATGTGTGAGAGAAGCCTAGCTGTAGAGACACTCTTAACCGACACATTTCAGTTCTATCCTTTTTTTTTTTAAACCATCAAAAGCAGAGAGCTACTCATCAATGGACAGTCTTCCGTTTCCAGTAGTATGATACGATATCGTCGCGAATTACGATATGCTCGCGTTCGTTACAAACATTATAAAGAATTGACAAAAAAAAAAAGAAACGGTCTTTTCGCCAATCATGACAATATTTGGAGGAAGCTGTGTAGAGTCGGATTGTATAGAATCAAACAATATACGAAGAGCTTAAATACGACAGACTGTACACAATGATAATTATATAGATATAAATATATATATAGGGTGTGTGTCTGATAATACAGTACGATCAGATCTTTACAAATTAATTTCTTATTAATTATTGCGAAAATCGTACAAAATGATAAAAGAAATTTTCTGTTCTATTTTAACCCGTGCGCAAGAACGATATCTATTATCAGATATCCTGTACATATATTTATATTTATATACATACATATATGTTATACAAATTATATGAATATAAATATGTATTTATATTTGGATTTATATATTTATATAAATTATATAAATATATATAAATATACATATAAATTCATATATATGTATATTATGAATATACATACATACAGTTATGTGTAAGAGAAAAATTTGTAAGTATAACAAGGATAATACCGGACATAAGGGCCAAACAGCAGTGTAATATTAAAAAGATCGTATAGAGATAATATTATGGATACTCAACACATATAGTATTTCTTATTGATATATATATATATACATATATATACATATATATATATATATATATATATATATGTATATATAATTAAATACAGCAAGAGAGAAATTTTATAGAGAGACGAGAGTTTTATCCACCTATTATCAACTAGCTCAGCAGTCCCGAAAATTGCATATTTTTTACCTCGATATTGTAAAAACTTCGCGGTCGAACGTTTGTACGTAAATATTATAATTATCACACGCCAGACGATGATCTCAATTACGCGAAGCACGTTCGGCATATTAACGATTTTAGATACTACTGATCTAGTTGAGCCCCGCAAGAAAGAAGAAAAAAAAAGACAGGAAGCGCCCGAATGTATATGTTACTGCTGGAGAATATTTCGTTCCCGACTTAGGAGAGAATAGCTGCTAATTCACGCAAACACAATTAGAGAGTAATTTTATACATACAACACGAATTATCAGTACGAAATAAAAAGAAAACTTTTTATAAAATGATACATTTACGCTTATTCGCTCGAATTGTTTTCTCAAGAATCTCTTATCACTATTATAGTTTCCCTATCATCTTTATTATTCTCCTTGAAATATGCTGCTCAGCTACTTCTGCTTTAACCAGATATAAAATTATCATTGACGATATGAGAATGTTTTTGGAAGGTAACATTCAAGCAATTCTCAATAGAATTAGTGGTTTGTACGTATATTTTACTGAATTTGCATTAATCGCGCCTTCGTTGCGCCTTGGCGTAAAAATGGCTTCAGATACGCGAAGAGGGTTTCAAACACATGTGTGGAAACTCAAACATATTATATTTGTTCGTATAAAATCATTATGTTGGAAATTAACTGCGGTCCTATATTTAATGCATTAAAACGCGTTTTTATTTTTGGATTTATTGCACGTATACTACAAAATTTTGAACTTTACTTACCTCTACTATAAAACATTATTTCAAAGCCGTAACAATGGCGGTTAGTTAAAATGTCTGTGATTTGTTTATTATTAAAACTTTCACACGTATTAATTGCTTGTGTTATTAGAGAACATTTATTTAAAAAATAATTTAAGTCACAAATTAATGTAACAAATTCAATCTTGTTTGTTCAGATATAGGTAGATAATTTGATAATTTTAGATTTTGATGTAACATTAATTATATATTAATAATAGCTTTAATTTTTAATAGTATAGAGGCTTAACGGATATAAATAAAAGTTTACGCAAAAGACAATTTTTTTTAATCGGTAGAATTGAAACCATAATTATTACTTCCAAATAACAACAAATATTTTAATATTTAATGCGTATATTATACATTGTCGGTATATATATACGTTATAGTTGCGCAAATCGCGGCGTACGTCTGCACAGTAGAATTTACAACGTATTACGTTTCCAATTAATAGTTTCGTTTATTTTAGCTTATACAGAGTTGCATTCAGTGTCTATATAATTACACGTGTACATACATATATTATATGCGTGAGTGTACAGATGTGCAGCATACGTATATCAATGTGGCACGTGCACCCAATTGGATTAATCGTCAATGATTGGAAATAATTAATTTAATTTAATTATAGTTAATTTTTTCATGAAAATTACTATTAATTACCGTTTGATATCATTATACTTAACAATATAATGTTTACTTCGTAAACACGAGAATAAATCGTGGTGGTGAGAAAATATCAGCTGGCGCCAATATCTCACAATAAGTAAAACTAATTTTTACAAAACAAATAAAAAAAATGAAAATATGATAAATTTATATTATTATTATCATAGCATGTCAGTTCGTGAATAAAAAATAAAAACAATATGAAGATATAATCAACTCTAGCCATTATCAACTGTATCATCGACACGATTTATGAATCAAAGCTGTAAACAAATAATCTAAATAGACTAAATTTTTATAATATGCTAAGCAGTTATGTAACAGAATTAATCATAAATTATACATCAGTAGTAAAAAAGAAAACAATTAAAAACTAATGTAAAAGATTGAAGGATTAATTTCGGATATATGTATTTATAATGTATTTTAATATCAAAATGTACAATAAAATATTTCAATATACTAAAGTACATAACTATATATCAAATTAAATCTTGATAATCTTTAAGAACGAAGTAAATCAAAAGTATATTTATATATGTTATAATATTATATTAACAAAATACTAGCAATTAATAATATAATAATAATATAAATAATTAATACTGTATTAAATCGCGTATCATCAAGCGAATCTTTTGAGAATTTTTCAAATTATATATTCTACATCCAAATCATCTTTCTAGACACATGACCAAGTTCGACCAATCATATGTTTGACATGTAAACAGTGTCGCAGTAGTAGTGATATGGCATCTGTACTATTTTATACTCACACAAAATACGAATTCGTCTGAATAAGTCTTTCCTACGATTACGGCCTTTTACTTCTCGCTTCAGCACGCTTGACGTTCAAAGCACGTTTATACGGCGTTGTTAACTTGCAATCGTAACGAAAAACGTGCGGACGATGGTGCAACAGTAGACCGGATTGTAATTATAACCTCTCCGTCGCATTCGTCGCTAACCGCAATCCTTTTGTCGGTATCGTCGGTGAACACGTGGTGGAACGCATTCGTCATGGGAAGCACGGACACCACGGCGAAGTTGCTGAACGACAGCCACGAGATCGACGAATACGGGGCTAACCTGAAAATTCTACCCTGCAACAACCAGGTGAAAGAGTTGCAAACCATTCTGCGGGATAAGTAAGTACCTTTGCGTTGAAAATGTTTGCATTAAATCTCATAGTCGTATAAGTTGAGATATTTTATCTACCTGATTTTCTCTTGAACCTTTAGTTTTTACAATTTTCTATGACATCATAGGATGTATCAAATTTTGTTTATTTGTATGCATGCCTGTATACACATGTATATATAATTGTAATACATTTATATTCATGAAATGCTAAATTTTTGTATGGATTTATTATCGAGAATAGCTATGAGCTGCTCATTTACAGGCCTTATTTTATAGGAATACTACACGGAGTGATTTCAAATTCTACGCTGACCGTTTGGTAAGATGTGTTTGATTTTGCTTACATCGCTTACAAATGTTTTCAACAGATGTTTTCATATTCTCTTTAAACTAAAAAAAGTAACTTTAATTTTTTAAAAGTAAATACTGTTTGAATACAAATAATGTTGTAATTTTAAATTATTAAAACATACGATATGATACGTTGTGCTAAAAGCTCTTTCTGAACTTTTGTAGTAATTAAATATTTATTATTTACATGATAGACAACTATATATAAAAAAATATATGTTGTGATTTTTAAAAAGTTGTTTTCTGATTTTTGTTTATTATGAGGAAAGGAAACTGTTACAATTTTTGTCGAAATGTTTTAGATCAGACTAGTCATTGAAGAGAGTTTGAACCAATTGCCTTTCACGAAATGTGTGGTGACGACTCCAACCGGTGCCAAATACAAAGGTTTAAAATATCAGAAGGGAAACTGTGGAGTATCTATAGTAAGAAGTGGAGAGGCTATGGAACAGGTACAACTTCAACTAATCATAATAACAAGCTGACGATTTCTTTGTGCGAACTAATTGCTAATTTATGGAGTAATATTTTTACAGGGTTTAAGGGATTGTTGTCGTAGTATCAGAATTGGTAAAATATTAGTAGAAAGTGATATGGACACGCACGAAGCTAGAGTAGTTTATGCTAAATTCCCAGACGATATATCCGAGAGGAAGGTCTTATTGATGTATCCAATAATGAGTGAGTATTGCAGAATATTCTAATATTGAGAGTATATTTGACTGATTGTGAAGAAAAATTTTAATTTATTTTATATTTATTTGCACATGTAGGTACAGGAAATACTGTCATAAAGGCCATAGCTGTGCTAAAAGAACATAATGTACTTGAAGAAAATATTATTCTATCAAATTTGTTTTGTACGCCGATTGCAGCCAAATCTCTAGTCACTGCCTTTCCTAAGGTGATTTCAGTTATTTATATTTGCATGAGTCAGTGTTGAAATCCATTAAATTTATATTTATATCTAATATATATAGTATTTATTTTTTCAAGTACATTTTTCTCTTACAGATGAAGATCTTAACGTCAGAGATTCACACTGTTGCACCAAATCATTTTGGACAAAAATACTTTGGTACGGATTAATTATATTTCACTAAGAAACAAATATAATGCATAATTAAATCGAGAGAAAATCAATGAAGAATGATTACGTGCTAAAGATGAATATTAAGCTAATTAATAATTAAAATTATTATGGCAATTAATAGTAATCTGACAGAGTGATAAAAATATGTACAGTATCAAATGTTTTTAATAGATATTTTCATATTCTCTTTGTAAACTTTAATTGTTTAAATTTTTACTTAATTCGATAATTTTTTTATAGAAATGATTTAAATAGATAGATTTGACTTAATATCTCAAATATTAAAATATGATTTTTGCTTTATCTATTTTGTATTAATTAAATATTTATTTTTGGATATTACAGTTTAGAATAGGTTTACTTAAGGTTCATTATGTATTAATAGTGCATATTCTCTCTGAACAACTTAGACAATTTTATAATTCATAAGTACATTATAAAAACTGTTATATTAATATAAAGTATAATATATATAATTATATATTTTTCATAACTTTGAATTATAAATTTGTTCTGAAGTTTAAATCTATTAGCTATAAGCATTCTCCTGATTTTCTCTGTGTATAATAAGACTGTAAGTAATACATTTGTTTTAAATGTACTTGAAATCGTTCAAAAATCGATGAAATAATTGATATTTTTGACAACGTCTTTTAATAATTTTTAGAGATTAGACACGATTACAGTTTTTCCTCAAATTTTTCTAATCCCTTTATGTTCGCAATAGGTACTGCATTATCAGTTTTATGTATGCTATACTTAATGTCAAGTATTTGCATAAAAAGTCTCGCATTAAGATAAGCTAAGTGTCATAAGCGATAATATTTACCAGTTCAGGTATTGCATATATACATACATATATACACATCTCTTAAAATAGAGATTTATAGGCTTACCGTCCCAAAAATAAACAATTTGACAGATTAAATAATTAAGAGCTTGACATTACAAACAATCGTTTCCAAAATTGTTTCCATTTTTTATTCCGCATAAACGTCTTTTTTTTAATTGACTGAATTGAAAAGAGTGGAAGTCTTAACTGACATTAAATTTCTAAGTTTACTGAAGTTTAGTAATGTCAGGTTTTCTATGTACACAGGATTTATAATATGTGTACGATATATTTATATATAAACTAGAAGAGTTACAAGTGATTATAGCATTATGTGTTAATTGAAAAATTATATATATAAGTATATTTAAAAAATATATAAATAATACTTTTTAAATTAAAATATGTTTTTATTTTTTATTTTTTTTTTATTCAGATCTGGTTTATAAGTATCATTATGCTATATTTGTATGCGATTATTCCGAAGAATATAATTTTAAATGAAGTAAGATTTATTATACATTGAGATGAATCTTGAGTCTAATAATACAAAGTGTAACCTTATCGCAACAGTACGTGCATAATCGAGTATTCATTTTACAGTATGTAGATAAGTTGAAATAACATTAAAAGTTATTTCACAATTTGACTTAAGACATTGTCTTAAAGGAAGAATACCTCATTATATGTTACATGCTATTTTAAAATAAAGCATTATATATAATTATTTTTGCTACATACAGCTTGCTGGCAGATATGTAAGAAACCGATCTGTTTGCATAATATAAACGTTTAATAAGCATAATTTCTTCTATTATGTATAATAGGTTTGAACATATAGCATTGCAATGATTTTGCAATTAATATTTATAAATATGTTCAAATTTTTGGAAAAGATCATGATTCGCAAATGGGGAGACTTATAATTCAAAATTCCTTTCTGAAGATCCAATAATTTTCACTGTTGATTCACTGTTGATCGTTGCATTTTATACGTAATTTTAATGGAACATGTGTTTGTGTACATTATTTGTTGATACAATTATATACGTATTATACGTATTGTACGTACTTCTTAACACGTTTTAGTCGAACTGGGTACAAAGTACTTCATTTACAATAGATTTACATGGACAAATTATATAACAATATTTTGTTCAATATAAAGAGAATTAAATATTATAACGCATCGCATAATTTATTTACCTACTTAATACAAATATATTGATGCACTCAAAGAGATAGTCCTAATTGTCCATTAATGTCAGTTAAGAACAAAGGATGATATATATTATACATGTATGTAAACAGGGAGTGTACATTGGGAATTATTTTATGTACATCATATACATTCAGTACATAAAGTCAAAACACAATTTTCGCTCAATAATTGAAAATTAGAAAGAAGCATCATGTTATACAAATCTCTATATAAAATCTTTGATATGAGTAGAGATATGTTTAGTTACATGCCCATTGAATAAGCTATGCAGCTTTTACATGTAGCAAGTTTCAAATAGAAATATGAAAACAATATTTTGTGTAATTTTTCAATAGGTAATTATCATATATTTGTTTAAACCTATTAAAGGATATAAAATTTTACAAACAAGAAAATAAAGATCTAGATTCAGTAAAAAACCTTTTCAAATTTGTCCTTAAAAAATTTAGATCTGTCTCAGCATTCTTATTAAACTATTTGCCTTATAACGTGCCTATGAAAAAGCTGCATTCAATAATTACAGCAATATCAATAAGACCAATAATTTATGTGATGTAAATTCCTGTTATTGAACGTGAGATGTTTATATACGATTGTTTATAGATTTATTTACATTGACAATTGTTTAACGTCCTTCGCATCAGCAACAAGTTTGTTTAATGCAAATTGTATGTGCGTAATATTGATAAATACAGATATATGTGCACAATGATTATTAATTAAATACGACAAATAGCATTAGTAAAATAAATGTAATTCTGAAACTGGACTACGTTTTATTTTTGTGTATTTTTTTTTATATTTTAATATATATTTGAAGAAGTTTAAATATTATTATGATTAAAAACAATTATATTACATTAACAATATCTATTAATATATTTAGCTAATAAATATTAATTTTGTAATTCATTACATCTACTTGCTACATGTACTTCTCTAATTTTTTCAATCATAATTAGAAAATTCACTTTTATGACTAGTAGTGATATGATAGAAATTTTTCGCTGGAAAGCAATTCCAGATTCATTAAAAAAATGTATTCATAAAAATTTTTTTAGTATGTTTGAAATATCCTGTCTATTTCGTTTTTGATAATTAGAATTTCGATATATAATTAATGCTACTGACAATGAGAATAAATATAGATGATGAACGATACTCTATATATAGACATATTTCACATTACTGACAAAAATGTAGTTTAAAAATTTTTAACAAATATCTCCAAATTTTCTCTATAATTTTTTTTTAGATAAATAAGTACTTTATATATACTTTTATTCCAAACGTGTATTATAAAAATATTGATAATTATTGGTTTCAGGCTGCACTCGTGTTGTAGTGGAGACGCCAAATATACAAGAGAAAGATAATTGAGGATGTAGAATTCGTTAGATCTCAATTGAACTGATTAAATAGCAAATTTAATTTATCTATAATATTGAAACTGAACGCTATAACGTGTGTAGATCAATCAGTTTATGCACTATTTTTAACTTGAGAAAGGATAAAGAATATTTTTAGATATTGTATACCAAGAAGTATATTTTACGCGTAACTAGTTTTTATATCGCTTTTGAAAAAGATCAATATATACGCTGCTTCAGATTTATTATAGAATTATATCCATGTATTTGAATATTGTATCTATATATATATATATATATACTTACCTTTAATAATTGAAACGGAATTGATTGATTCCGTTTCCCAAAATACATTATTGTTACATATCATATATTTATTTCATATAAAATGTGTTAGAAATAAATTTTAAGGATATATGAACGGAATTTTAAACTTGAATCATTGTATTTATTAGTAAATTTTTGTATGCATGTAACAATGATCGCTGTTGAGCTGTATATATATGTGTATATATATATAATATATACACATACACACACACACACACACACACATAATGTGTGTATAATGAATATTATTTTTGTAAATATGGTTATATTTAATGATTATATATCTCTAATATATGTTAAAATTTATTTTAACATTAATATTCAATCTTTATTGTTACCTCCCGCTCCCTCTCATCCTTGTAATAGTGTAATAAGAAAGACATATTAACATGAATAAAACTTTTACCATTGCTCTCTTTGATTATAGCAGTAAATTATAGATATATATGTGCGATATTAATAATAGTTTTTATGTATCATGTTGAAGAATATAATTATAATAGCAAAAATAACTTTTTATTTCATTTATTTATTTATAACAAAGCAACTTGTAGCAAATACTTGGATAAAGCTTAATTCTTTTTTTATGACGGAAGTATTGGTTGAACGATAGATAAGCAATAAAAGATTTATGCAAGATATTGATCTTGCTGAGCACACACGTAGGAAGATAAATGTCATGACTAAAAATAATAAAAGAATAATTCATATAGGCCTTTTCATCAATACAACTGCCGCTATTATCATTTAGAATATAATTAGTTTGAATAACATCGGATTTGTATACAAAAAACTTGTTTTTTTTTATTCATTTTGTGCAATGAATAGATATTAAACATTTTTCACATATATGTCATTTTTTATATTATATATATTAAAGCATTCATTGCGCTGTTTCAATAGTAGCAGTTGTAAGAAATTCTCTCTCTCTCTCTCTCACTTTTGCTTTGAACTTTTGTATTATTACAATACAATTTACAAGCATTGTAAACCGATCTTTCTGTTTTCAAAAATAGAACTTTTTAAAAAACTCAATTGTTCGATTTTAGACGCAAAAATTTTAATGACTGAATAGACTGTGTTGAACAAGCATGAGTCATATACACACATATCAATGAAATCGTGTCACGCCTCAGTATGAGTCATATGCACCAGCATAATTTTGTTGTAAGTAGAAAATGGAAGTTTATATACCATAAAAAGATATTTATAATTCATTTATAAAAATCTAGAAATCTCTTCTTCTGTTCCTTCTAATAACTACTTCTAATATATTTAATATATAATTAAGCTCAAGAAATCAATCGACTTCTTAAAGCATATTTGGAAAGACCGTTTGATTATCTTAACGCGAAAAAAACGAAATGTCCGAATAAATTTTAACAAGCCAAACCTATCTTTAATACTGTTCTATTCGCGATTAAAAGTATAATATAAATATCAAAATTTTTTTTCTCATGTGTAACAAATTAATTATATCTACAAATAAAAAAAATTCAATTATAATACATATTTATCTATATATCTCTCTCTGTCCTCATATCTCAAATGATATTGTGTATATGTTATGTATTGCTAGATTCTATATTTTGTACGCTTTGCACGCGGCAACAAACGAGAAAGGTGTAATGGGTGGTTGCACATGTAAGAGAAAAATATGTACTTCAGTTCGGATGTAGTGTGCTACAATGTGTATCAGGTATGGTGCGGTGCGAAACAATGCAAAAATAGTAAACAAACGTGAGGATGTATACAAAGAGAGCGATACGAAGGAATTGTTTCATATCGCTTAATCAGACCTGTTGCAAAACATTTGGTGAAGACGCGTTTGATCTAAAAATACAAAGTATATATATTCTATAAAAGAATGTTCCATGCGTCATTTATACTGATCATTCAACAGACTTTCTGCGGTGCAGAATATTATCTTGGCAGTACCTTCATTCAGCCTTAGTAATGTAATAAACGTGGCTTTTTGCAAAATACGTTTGTGGGTGGAAAAGGAAGGAAGTCATTGTGTGGAATATCCCAACTTTACATGGGTATATCTCGTATCTATTCCTCTTTCTCTTGGTCGTCGGACTTCTCTTCATTTTTATCGCCGCTATCTTCTGCGTGTTCACCTTCATCGCTAGCGATAACTTTTGCCGCGCTATCTACTTCGGCTGGTTTAGAGTCATCTAACGCTTTGGACTCGCTTTCTAGAGTTGTCCTTTCTGGTAAACTGCGAGCAAATAATTATGAATTAATTATTCAATATTTCTAATCAAAGTATGGATTGTAGATATTGATTTTAATAGATTTCCATATTAATCCGTTTATTATTAATAATCACCTGTCGGAAAGTAGAATATCTGCTTCTTTGTCTGCGGAAGGCTGCGGAAAAAAAAACAGATTGCAAATGTCAGATATGTATTACAATATAAATATAGTAGCAAAGTTATCAGATTAGTACAGAAGTAGGTAGCAATTAAAATGATTTTATATATAATTTAAATATAGTATTTTATATATAGTTAAAAAATGCTCGTTATAAAAAATAAAATATAGTAATTTATGTTTTATATCATCGTACATTTTAGTTCTTTTGGAAAGATACAAACAAGTAAATATAAACGATTTGTCGTACACGTGTCACACAATAGGCATGACTATAGCAATTGTCATTTCTATTTTGGCGCGTCGGAATTCTTTCTAATAAAGAAACTGTATGTATGTACATACAATACAAAGGTTAGTTATGACAAAGCTCTTTTTAAAGTTTCAGTTTCGAAACAAAGACACATAATTACCTCTCGACTTGACGTATTTCCATTCTCTTGAATTTCACTCTGAGATTTTGAGTCAAGAGTGATTTCTGCAGTACTAACCGCCGGCGTTACTTTCAGAAACTTTTCCAGTTCATCCATTTCGTTCGCTAAATCAAAATCTTCATAATCCTGTAAAATTCAACCGCTTGTATAAAAATTATGATATCTTTTAAGCGATTATCTTCTATTGCTTGTTGCATATGTGTGGTATATTTTTAAACTTAGTAAACTCTGTCAATGGTAATTGCAATATAAATGGCATAAAGAAAAGAAAGATAATTACACCGCAATAATCATCTTCGTTAAATAACTGTGGTGGCAATGGATACTTGTTATTCCTAGCATTACTGTTGGCTTGCATGAATTCCTTTTCCAATTCTTTGCCTGGCTCTGTTATATCAATGATCTCGTATTCAACATTTTTACTATCTAAGATCATCAATACACGTTGCTGTCTTTTTTTCACCTGTAACACGTTTACATGTAATTAAACTTTTTGTCGCTGTCTCTTTTTCACCTGTAATACGTTTACATGTAATTAAAACTTTTCAAACTTGCCCAACTTAATATGTGCAACTATATGAAAGTGTTATAATCTATTCGTCGATAATGAATATTGAAAAAGATAGAAATTAATGTTAAATATATATTTTAACATTTGCGTAACACATTTATGTGTTGTGAAATTTATCTTAATTTCTACTGAAGTCAGAGTCGCACGTATAAGCAGAAAAATCCATATGCAACAAAGTGTGTTAATTGCATCTATTATTCTTGTATATTTTGATCCTAATAATAAAATTTACAGCACTTATTGTGCTGTAAAATAGCAATAACAATAATTGCCAACATGATACTATTAATATTCCCAAAAGAAGTATATTCAACAAACGAGAGATCAAAGAGACACGATCGCACGGAACAAGTTTGCCTTATCAATAATGGAACGTTTCACTATCGAGCTAAAATATACGAGATAAATTCGACAACCATCGCTCCCAATTGATTCCAATAAACAGACCCGGACGTGACCCGCGATAAACAGCTGGAAAACTGGCGTGACACCACCGTACGCCCATCGTCGAGGAGAGCGAGCCACGGAACCGATCAAAACGCGCAGTTATACGCGCGCGTCACATCGCGCGAGTGACAGATCCCCGATTCTTAGGCGGTCCCCCCGGGGCCGCTGGTGCGTGTCGTTCGCATTGTAACCTGATACAGCGGCGACGACGACGACGACTGCCTGGCGTGCGCGGTGTGTCAAGAGACCAGGCGCCGTGGTCGAGCATCGCGACACCGCAGCCCGGTCGATCGTCGCCGAAAGCCGCTTGGCACTCACTTCCTTGTTGCCGCTGATACCCGATACGTAGATCTTGACGACCATCGCGCTGGCTCTGTGCTGCGACCACCACCGGTCGCTGTGTGCCTGCCCTAGACTCGACGACGCACGCTCCCCTCGCGCTTCTGTGTGGCTGTGTGCACTGCGCCGCGCTGCGCTCTTGCGCTACGCCACCACGCTACGCTACGCTCCGCTCCGATTAGGCGGCGCGTCGGACGACGCGCGACGTGCGGGAACGACCGACCGACCACACGACCACCAACCGGTCGCTCGCCGCGCGGCGGTGATTCCGCTATTAGCCCGCTCGCACGCACGCCGACACGCGTGACGCACCGATCTCGAGAGCGAAACGGAGCCGGCCTAACTCCGGGCAGTCCGGGGCTCTGCGTGGCCTGCCTTCGGTCTATACGTCATACCCGGGCCGGGTTCCTCTCTTTCTCCCTTTCCCAGGGATGGAACGAACAATTCCTCTCCTGCGCTGTACGTCGCGCGCGGAGTTTAATGTTTAGGAAAATGTTTAGGAAAAAATAAATTAATAAATACGCGTGTCTGGAAAAATAATTTTGCAAAACGCTTCGCCGCGCGCGACTGTTTCCGTTCGTCAACTGCCCCCCCCCCCACCCTCGCAATTGTGTAACGCGTTACGATATATATGACGTTACATAATCGACGCGTATTTTTGGAAATTTGTTAAAAAACACGGGCGGTGACGTTTGCTTGGGAGCTACGTGTAACACGGACCGCGAATTGTTTGACTGGTGTAATTGAATTATGTAACTTACATCATTTGTTGATTGATTCGTCGCTGCAGAAAGATTTAATAAAAATTGAGTTAAAATATTTTTTTTTTGTTATATGCAATTGTCGAATTTTAGTAGCGGAGACCGCTTGAAAGATAAATGAAACTCTTGGAGAAATCGAGTTTCTACTCGTGACTTATTCGCAATGCAATTTCTATACCATATTACAATTCGGGACACGAAGACTAACTTTTACTATTTAAAAATATACGCTTGTGATACGTTTGCGTGTACGTTCCTGTGTTGGGTAACTTGTCGATAAGCCACCGTGTTGGTCAACAGCGGTTTCAATAAAATTGAATTAGCGAGGGCTATTTCTTCCATATGCGCAAACATGTGTAATCTCACTCGGTTCATCATTTCCAATATATCTCGGAGGATGCAATCTGTCTTTTTACATTAGCTTAGTTAGCTAATAAGCTATCCTTTTAAATATAATTTTTTTTTTAAATATGTATATGTAACACAAAAATAAATTTCAAAATATTAAAATATTAAATTTTGTTTCAATAAGCTAAAATAAACGTATAATAAAAAATAAATTATGATTAAATAAAATATACGTATTATTACAATTTATTATTAAATTATATATATATATATTTCAAGTTAAAAAATTTATATATTTTGTCTTACTAAAAAAAATATCTTTTATCATATTATTTCATTATATTTGTATTAGTTAAGATACATACAACAGAATATTTTCTTCAGAGGAAAAATAATGTAATTTACGTTATAAAATAATCTTTTGCAGATATAATATATGAAAATATATATTTGTCATTATATATAGTTTTGAAATTCACCAAGTTTTTCCTGCGCAAGTTTGAATTTCGTCACCATTGCTTGCGTCCATTTCCTTTCGGCTGACTTCCGACGTTACACGACTTGCACGACGCCGTGCGAGGTTACCTTTTTCCGGTTCTTTGCGAGAGTGTACTCCACCCGTTCGAAATGGTAAGATATTTTATCGAATTTTACGTGTCAAATCTTGCTGAAATCTACATCATGTTGAGCATCAAATAAGAATTATTGCTGTCAAGAAATTTTTCATATACATATTTCACTGTGAAACGCTAGCGTTACGTACTTATGAGGAGGATCTAACCTAAGGAGGTTATGTTTTGAAAGCGTTCCTTCCTATTCGATCATATATTTCTGATCTCTAATATCATCGAAGTTACGTGTGGTGCGGAGACTTTAAAAGTGTTGAAATTTTCCAGGCGAAACGCACGAAGAAGGTTGGAATCACTGGTAAATATGGCACGCGTTACGGTGCCTCCCTCAGGAAAATGGTCAAAAAGATGGAAATCACCCAACACAGCAAGTACACCTGCTCGTTTTGTGGTAAGGTAAGTAATTGCATCGTACTTTATCAATACTGTAAGTTGGAGAGATAAATTCTCATTGCTTAGTACTTTGTAAACATAAGGTTTTCATGTAATAAATTCTCTCTACCTCATGTTCATGAATCTCTTGCAAATGCTTTTGCAAATTTGCTTTCTGCGAACATTATTTGATGAATTTAATGCAGTCCAAATCAGATTATCAAATGTATCGAACAACGCTACTTTTATTTTTTAACAGGAGGCGATGAAGCGCAGCGTCGTAGGAATCTGGTCCTGTAAACGATGCAAGAGGACTGTCGCTGGTGGCGCATGGGTATATTCCACGACGGCCGCTGCTTCAGTAAGATCAGCCGTACGTAGATTGCGTGAAGTTAAAGAGCAGTAAATTATGTAATAAATATCTTTTTAACAATTTATACTGTGATTTTATTTAATGCAAACCAATCGTTTCTATTATTAAATTTATATTGATCTAATATTTATCTCAATTTTTTTGTTAAGATCATCTATATTTCTACTTTCTCTACATTATTCATTTTATATTATTTCTTTTTTACTATTTAATAAAATACAAATTATTTGTGTAAGTATATAAAAAGATGATATTTTAACGTGTATCAAGAAGTATTAAACAATAAAATTATAATTGAACTTCTGCGTTTATTAATCAGGAATTATATATATGAAAATAATGATCAACCAACATTTCACATATGTAACGAAACTAATTATTTATTCTAACAAGATGTAATTGTATTGATCATAATTATTTTTATAAGATTCCATAGAATACTTATATGGTACAATTTTAACAACTATAAATAAATTACTTTTTTTAAAAGGCGTCTTTTAGTCGAACTTAACTTACGTTCTGAAAGGAGAAACGAAAGTCAGGTTTAAATGTCGTTAATGTGCATACATTCATTTTTACAAATTTTTTTACTTACTTTAGAAATATTTAAAATTATACTAGTATTATAGAGACATGCGTTATATTAAACTTAATAATGTATACAAATAATTTTTATTGTCTTTTAAAAGATCATGCTTACGCAGTTCAGGCTATTATAATAATCGAAACTGTCCTTTCGCATCATCATAATCGATTGAACCGTGAAGCTAGAGACATTTATTATTATCGTTGAGCAAATGATTAAAACGGAAATCGTTCATTAGCAATTTTATTCATAATTAATAATAGCATTCTCCATGAAATCAGCCTGCGAGGAATGACGTATTTGCAAAGAGAGGTACTATTGACTATTGTTTTTTTTTTTTCGATCGCGATCGAACACTTTCATCATTTATCTATAAAGTGGACTGACACATTGCGCATTTCAACATATAAGTCAATTTGTATTCTATACAAAAATAAATACCGCAGTCTTAGAAGACAAATGTATCAAGCTATTAACGTTGCACCATCACCATAACATTCTTTTGAATTACATAAGAATAATGAGTATATTCGTCATTCAATAGAATACAAATAGAGGTCTTAAAACTGTGTCGGAAGTTGTTTCACAGGAGTATAAACTCACGAAAGTTTCTCTTGTTTTCAATAGCAGATTTGTGAATAGATCGAGTAGAAGATGTCATTATTATAATTGTTGGAAGGATAAGAATAAAAATATTCTATTGTAACTTATGATGTCGAGGAGAAAGGTGCCATCATTCAAAAACGGAAGCTGATTGATTTCGTTCAATTGATCTTTGCATAAACGGTAATTATTTCCTGCAATTGTCGTTGCAGTTTAGTTAAACTCGTTACTTTATCTGTGAATGATTGCGCTTTACATGCATCGTGCTCAAAAGTCGTTTTCTTCGGAACGATTTTATGGCATAATGTTTTGAATGTTAACTCGTAAATTAAACACTGTAATGTAATTCGCACAGACAAAGTAACTTCGCAAATGTGCGTGAATGTGAGCTGATCATGCCAGAAAAATCTGCTATCATTAAAATATGGAAGACACACTCTGGTACGTCCGTTGAAACTGCATTATGTCTCTGGAATCAAATTTCAACGAGAATTAATAAACTGTATGCATCTAACTAAAACCTGATGAATTCTTACATATTGCTATTAAAGTCTGATAAGTACATCCTTTGCACGAAACGACGCGTAACAGTTAAATTATACGAACGAGATGCAACGAGGAACTATCAGAAACATGAATATAAAAAGATCCAGTGCTCTTCTCTAGTTATTTAAATGGATTGTACAATAATAATTTTTTCTATATTATTATCGGTAGCGTCACATCGACTTCACTGACATTCCACCATTCACTCCGTCATTTATCTCGCGTTACATTTTCCAAGCATATTCACATTTCATTTCGTTGCGTTACCGACTTAACGGTCAGTCATTCGTCATTGCACTCATCCGAAATTATCAAATGTCTCTCTCGCTCTTTCGTATCAACAATTATTTATAACAGTGGTCTGATATGATTCCCTCTTTACTGCTTCGTAGCCAGAAAAGAAGAAAAGGAGTTCACTCTGTTCGTCGTTTAGTATCACTTATATATTCACACGCGCGATCAGAGAAATTCATCTCTGCCACTATTGTGCATCGATCAAGGCGCACCGCAAGGACCGGTTCCACAAGGAATGGCAGTAAATTCTCGATACTGCCTCATCAATGGTAAATATATCCCGTAGAGGATAATCTAATTATTTAACTACAATTTCCGACGAGAATCGATTTCTCGCACACTGTCAATTCATTTGACCTACACAGTCGGATGTAATATTGAACCGTTTCTTCGCCACTCTCTGGATTATAATAACTTCATTCTCTCTTCTTGTACGCGCGCACTTGGGAAGTCCTCTGCGATCAGTCCATCAGTTACCATTTATTAAACATATTAACAAATATTGCGTATAGATCTGGCGTTTAAAGTGGATTCGTATTAGCTGGCCTGCCACTTGAATTTGCTACGCATGATCCATTTTTGTCCGATGTTGTTGACATCGCACTGCGCCAAGACGGGTTGCGACGCATCGCCCGAGTGGGGTTTCGACAAACAATAACCCGTGTTCGTGTGTTTAATCATTTTGGTCTAGAAGGAACGAACGGTGTGTATTAATAATAAATTAATTGCATTTATCGAAACTATGTTTTAAGAAATTAGTGCTACCTTTTATGTCTAAAGATATTTGCTTTATATATTTTTTTATTTATATTTCCATCCTTCTTACCTCGTCATTGTAAACCCACGCTTGATTACCACCCATGCCATGACATCGTACGATCTTTACTGGACCTTGTGGACTAGCTGCATCAAGGCACATATCGTCAGACATTATCTGTTGCCGCTTAGTGTAAGCAAATACCTGAATAATACAGTCCTCGTTAGAAATAACGTACGTTCAAAATTGAAAAACAGTAGCGCTCGATTCGTTACGCATGGATTACTTGATATCCAAAAATAAACACGAACCTGATTACCACCTAATCCGTGACAATAACTAATTCCGACGTTCTCCCCGGTTCTTCTGCCCATAGTATCCAAACACGTTTGCGTTTCAACATTTTTCACATCGCCGAGATAATAATAATCTAGCGGCATCGGCGATTCTGGATATATGTTCTCCAAATACCATCTGAAGCTTTTGCATTTCAGCCGTACTCTGAGTTTAATTCGCTCGGAAACATCACCGACGTCGACATTTCGCGCTCCTAAAAGAAAAAAAAGAAATTAATTTTCTGTAACGCTACAATATTCTACAAACAGCCGAACTTATTCACATGTATTGTTTTTTTTGTTTTTTACATATTGTGCTTGCAAATATAAATTGATTGAAAAGAAGATTTGTCAGAGAATTTTGTGCTAAAAATAAAGACATTTGCAACCATGGTACATATTGTATGATACATTAAATGCCATATGCTTGCTCCTAACAAATAATTGTGCAATTATACAACGCATTTTTTTTCTGGAAATCTGAAAGATGTAAAGAAGTTTATGAAGTAGAGCATTGTTTTATATATACACGTATACAATAACTTTCATACATACTGCAAATGTAGCGTGCAGAGATGTATTGTGCTTCACCAAAATTATTTTATACACATATTACCAATTAAGAAACAACTACGAATACATATATGCGTATGTATTTGTTACTTTTATGTCTGTCACTCTAATTATTAGAGTCTAATAGAATATCTCCCTTTAATAATAACCTTTCGATTATAATAGTATCACATAGAACCTTTAATGCCATGCGTGATTTATTTTTTACTCTCCAAGTACACCTCTACGTGTCCTATTTGCATTGTCGTTCTAGTTTATTATATATTATACTATACCCATATTGTTGTCTAACGGATTGTCTGCAGTGTATTAAGAGAACATAATAGCAATGATGTTTTAAACAAATGTTAACGGGTATCTGATATAGACAGTGAGCACCCGAAGCCGTAAGCTGCAGTAAAAAAAAAGATTGATAAAGAGACATGCAGGCCCATCGCAAAGCATGCTGCATCGCAAAAGCAACCAACACACAGAAAGAGATGTATAGGGATAGAGTCTCTTTGTTTCTTTTTTTTTTTTGATGCACGAGATACGCCAGTGTTAGTGCTACCTGGATTAATGTTGTAATAGAAGTACTTCCATTGGTCCAACCAAACTTCCGCGAGCCGCGCATTGTTGTGGTTGACTATCTTGCTGGTACCGCCCGGGAAGGTATACGGGGTCGACTTACGGAATACATGCCCGACGTGCGAGCATGTCGCAATTTCCAATGTCCCACCACACATCCATATCTAACCAACTCAGTTCTGTTAGTGTGTTAGCAGTTACAAATGGTAGTAAAAAACACGATAAGTAGACAAAAAGAAAAAGAATAAACACATGGCAAATATCATATCGTATTCTGCGGCTCATGGTGGATTTAGAAATTCTTCTCTTGCGGCACCTACAATGGCAGTCTGGTAAGAGAACTCCTCATTAAAAGCAAGCGCAATTTTTCAATTGGTTAGTCGGCTGGATGGATGAGTGGTTAAGACTACACCAGCATTCGTATCGAGATACAGAGATATCAAAATATATATCTGAAATGTTCATTCGACGTTCACGTTTAATGCCCGTGGCTATTTCCTAATTCTACATCGTACAGAAGTATACTTATTGCTTGATCGAAAAAGACAAACTGGAGTAAAGTACTTTGATCGGTCGCAAAGACAGCAATCGTGAAAATTCTGAGCATAATTTCTGTAGTAAGAGAGATGGTTTGGTTTTAGTTTAGATATATTAGAGCAATATAATGTATACAACTACTGATGTGTATTGTGTATGAAATATTAGTAAATACACACATAAATTATAATGTGCATAACACATACAAACGATTAACTAATTTATAGTATATCTGTGTGCGTGTGTGTGTGTGTGTGTGTGTGTGTGTGTGTGTGTGTGTGTGTGTGTTGTGTGTACAGCTAATGTTAAAAATCACTTTATGAAGATATATTAACGCAAGACTGTTATTAATTAATTATTAGTCAAATGGAGAAACAACTTGTTAACAAGGAAATAATGCATTCAAAAAACAACTGCGATTCACACAGCTATGTGAATTATCATAATTTGAGTGAGAGGTAATATAAACGGATTATATCAGATACCCGTCAAATATGTTATATAGAGTTACGCTTGAATGATATTATATTATACAGAATATAATATAATAACTGCAATTTAAAAAAAAGGCTTTATCAGTTAACATCGTTGCTTTCAATATAAGCGCTATATGAGTACCAGCTACATGGAAATTTCGAAACAATGCTATCAGTAGTCCTGAAATACTTTAAATTTTTCAACGAATTTTACAACAAATTTTTCAAAAACGTTTTTTAGTTACATTGGATGTATATGTGTTTATATATATACATATATATATATATATATATATCTGAATAATTTTGAGAAACGAAAATTTGTACAACGTTTAAATTTCTGATGGTACACTTATGTGTGGAGTATGTATGACATAATGTGTGCATAATGATGGCATCATTTAGCGCAATTTAGTACAACAACATTGGGGAGAAATTAATTAAACGATACACTTGATTATCTAACCTGGATTCATGGCATAGTAAAAATCTCTCCACTCATCCATCCAGACTTCGGCCACCCTGGCCGCATTGTGCAGGACTATCTTGCTGACACCGCCAGGGAATGTATATGGGCTCTTGTCCCGGAATACATGTCCCACATGTGAACACGGACTGATTTCTAATGTTCCGCCACATTGCCACACCTACAAGATACTTATGACTTCACAAATGACAAACGGAAATTTGTACGAGAATACCCTTTGAAGACCTTTTAAAAACTTTTCATCAAATATCATAATAGTCACAGTTATCTCTAATACAAGATAGAGGCGAGAGTTATTATTAAATAACGGACATTGAGAATCGTATGAGCAAAATCAATTTGCAGAGAACCCTACAAATTAATTTACACATAAAAAATACATGGAATTAGGGTATTAACATGACAATTTTCAAACGTTTCGGTCTTCCTTCCTTCGTATTTATAAATAATAATTGTTAATTTCTTAAATTAGATAATATATTCACCATGTGATTTTGTTGGATATAAGCTCATGCCATAAAAAAATTCGTGGATAATCGCGTTAAAAATTAGCAATTTTTTTTGTATTGTTTTTAAAGAAAGGATTGCTTACCCGGAAGCTCATTTCAAGATTTTCACCACCCCAAATATCCATGCCTTCGTCGTACGCGCCCAACTCGTAAAAGTAGTCTTTATCAATAGAAAACAATCCACCGGCCATGGTCGGTGTTCGTAGCGGTGCCGTTCTGTCGCTGTTTCTCCTGTCCATTTCTCTCTGCGCGACTCGGTACCTTATTGAACAGAATTAATATAATATTAATATTTTTTATTTAAAAAAAAATAGAGCTATAACAAACGCATAAAACGTTGTACTAACATATTATTTGACAAACTGCCAACGCGTTTTGTTTCTATTTCAGAATTTCGAAATTAATTATAGATGAATTAAATTTAATTAAACAATAAGCACAGTGTACAGGTTTGTGGTGAATATTGTGGAAACTGTAAATTTGTAAACTCGACAGCACGTAATTATACACGAAGGAGAGAAAGAGAAAGATTGTTATTGATTATATTTCAGATTGTTATATGTAGAGGCAATTGAATTAGAACGAGAAGTATTGAATTTATGGACAGTATAACTTAAAAATCGTTGAATTTATGAAACTATCGTAATTTAACGGAGATATAAATTTATGTCAATAATATATATGTCTCAGTATGGATCGATAGATTTAATATTTCAAGCGGATTTAACTATATATGCCAATCTAACTATTCATGACTTGCAAAATATGTAGATTTCCACATTTGCAACTCAAATTTTCTTCGTGAGTGTCCTTTTTTTCCAGAAGGCAAGAGAGATTTTAGCTATTTCGGTTAAAATACGAACGTAATGTCATTAAAATTCATGACGTTTAACGTTGTAACGTCGTAATGCTGTAATACCATCTGAAGTTCAATTTCCAATTGAAACCTCCCCAGGTCATGTCGCTGGCCGGGATGTACTCGAAGGTGTCGTCGCTGATTACGTCTATGATCGGGCAGACAACGGTATGCCTATCGACGGCGATTCTTGATAACAGCGGCTCCAGCCAACCCTCGGTACACTCGCAGTGCGCATCGAGAAACGTGATTACTTGTCCCTTGACGTGCTTTGCCCCTAAAAGCCTCGCTCTTATCAGGCCCGATCTCTTCTCGGTGCGATACACATACGTGGGGACTGGTAACGTGGCTATGTAGTCTTCCAAATCTTGCTTCAGGTGCTCTAGAAAAAATAAATTTTCACCGGTCACTTCGAGTCACTCGAGTTTCATAGCTACGATTCTTGCAATTCTCTATATCGATCCGATATTACTGTTTATATTTTCTTTCGTTTTAAACACGTACAGTCGCAACTTGATCGTCCCGCTTTTACGCGCGATACGAGGAATTACAAATCGATCTACATTACAAACACAGTGAAAACATTGGCGCTTGTCACGCATGTAAAGCGCTCGTTCGAGAAACGCTATGTGAAAACGTACCACGCTCGCTCGCGTCGTCCACGAGGATGATTTCCTTCAGCAACGACCTGGGAGATCTGTTTATCACGGACCAGACCGTCCGCAGCAGAGTGGTCCACGCCTCGTTATGGAAAACTATCACGATACTCGTGTCTGGAAGATACTTGGGGTACTTCTTATTCTTACAACCCTCGAGCCTGATGTCCTTCAGGGATCGGTTCAAGGAGATCATGTCGCTGGCCATCAGATTGAACTGATTCAGCTTGAACAGCTCCTGCTGCTTGGCCTCGTTCTCCGGCGCGATGTGCACCGCCGCTCCCATCTCGCCGGGGCTGCCCTTACTCTCCTTGATGACCTTCGCCGGCCGCCACAGATTCAGCTGCGACTGCGGATACTGCCTCTTGTTGTTGTGCTCCTGCTTCACCGCCTGCGGCTCCCTAATCTGGGCCTTCGGGTGCAGCTGGGGCGGCTCCTCGGACTGAAGCGCCTGCTGCTGCTGCTGCTTGCCGTCCGAGCAGCCCCATCCGGACCCTCCGATGCAGTCCGAATAGAGCATGAGCACCATGACGTCGACCAGGAACCATACCAGGGACGTCAGCAGTATCACTTGACACGTGTGAATGCGAATCTTGGAGCGGAACATCTTTCAACGGCGGCTGCTGCAGTCTTCCGCTTGTACCACGAGCTCATCACCCAGTCCGCCGCGCGTGGACTACTCGCGATAAGGGTTTTCTCGACTCGAGGCTTAAAACGAGATACTCACAACCGTGTGTTTCTACTAATTGCACGGGCCTTCGTGGAATCACATGACTGAGGGCGGCTGGGCTTTCAGCGCTCTGCAACAGAAAGATGAGCCGGGTTCGTTACGGGATACGATGGCTGCGCTGAGGTTCCCTATCGCATCGGGAATTCCCGTGTTGATAGTAAAATGTTATCCGACAGACGCAACCAGAATTCTTTCGGCAGATCGATCGTTCGCTTCAGCTTTACGCACGCTTATCACGATTCTACGAATCACGGGATGAAGCCCGGGACTTTTCCTTCCCATGCACATCGCGTATATGGTCGTATCAAGATGGAACGAGCGATGGAACGAGCGATACCGGCTTGCGAAAGACGAGTAAAAACTCGTTATAAAAATCGATTGTTTCTCTCGATAATATTTGCCCCAAAAGCTCATAATAAACATCCATTCACGTTTCCATATTTTTCCTGCATATTTGATAAATACCTCAATAACCTCAATATTGTATGTGTCTATGTATTTAATATTTTATATATGTCTATACATTTAATATGTTATATGTATAATATTTAGATATTTCTCGACGCATTTTGAACTTTATTAACGCCAAACTATTTTTTTTTTTTTACGCTGTTTATTAACAACGGCACTCCTACAGATAATTTTACGCCAAGCTTTCGCGAAAGGTTTTTCGACTTTTATGCTTAGGTATTGCATACGCTGCGGCGATTACGAGAACGGAAATACGAGGAGGCGCGCGGGCGAAAAGTGCATACGTCAGCTAAGGGTAACCGGAGCACTTTGCGACACTTAGGTAAGCACTTAGCACATGACTAATTCGTACTCGCATCGATCGCGGGAGAGAATGCCACTTTTAAACGAGACGTTCCGTTTCGATCAGCTGCCCGATGCGCGAGTTTCATGCCTTCCTACAAATAGAACCGGCAATACAATGACTCGCGACTCGCGCGTACGCGCATTTACGTTCGCGTTATATACTGGTGTATGAGTCTGAGTGGATCAGATAAGAGTTTAGCGATGAGCCTACCTATCGCGCACATATTGGAACACTCTTATCGTATTGTGTCGCGTGTAAACCGCGCTGTCCGTTGTCTCGCGTACATCGCAATATCGACTGCAACGCCGATGGCAGGCAGTTTTATGAAAATAGAAAAAAAAAGAAGGGCAGTCTCGGGATTATCTTGGAAATGATATACATTATGCGCGAGGTGAGCTTATTTTGTACAGTCAAGTCGAGCGGCGAAGACACGCGCTGCTTTGCATACTTATCACTCGAATGGTCGACTATAGAATTGGCCTGATCGGACTAACGGCTAATTTCGCAAAATTGACAAAATAACTTTAGATAAAAAAAAAATACCGTGACACGTTTCGACGTGTTACGAAGCGTTATCTCGCGTTGCGAAACAAACTCCGCGTAAAACGTATCAGCCTTCTTGCCTCCGGTACCACCGCGGTACCACCGCCGTACCGTCGCGGTTGCCAGTCGATAGCCGGCTGTCATAATCGCGACAAAAAGAAATTAGTATATGATCATAATGGCGAAGTGTTTCGAAGACACGACGGAAATACAGATCCGTGAGTAATTATCCCACGCAGTCAGCGGGGTCACTTGGCCTGGGAAATTATATTGCGATGAGACAGCCGTGCTCTCCCGATGGTACTAATTAATTAGCTGCCGCTAAATAATTCACTTTCATCACGATAACGAGCGGGAAATGGGAGTAATAATGTCGGATGACTATATGCGCGACCCAGAGAACAACGGCGACATTCCCTGTCGGTTGTATTGCACGAACTTTCTATTATAAAAAAGGTAGAATGTGTACATATAAAACACATACTTAATATATTACACACACACATACATATACACGCACGCATGCGCGTACATATATATATGTGCAAGTTTCTCTATTTTATAAATAACAAAAAATTCAGGTAACGAGAGGATGTCCGAGAATGTAAAAAAAAATCTTAAATTTTCATGTAGTTTATGAAAAAAATTGTTTATTTCAAAATAAAAATGATAAGAATAATTAATAATTAATTAATAATTAATAATTAATTAAGTATAACCCAATTAAGCAATGTTAGAATTGTTATGCCTATAAATATAGTACTTATATAAATCTTACAATTATATTTTGAATACATTCTGTAAAGTTGACAATTGTTTGAGAATTATTTGTAAATTTATAAAGTACTTAATGGCAAAATGTACATAGAAATATTTGAGAACTCAGTGGAAAGAGAAATCAAATTCTCTAATAATTACTAAGAAACTGATTGCGATGTGAGTTTCTATTAATGATGCTATATATTATATTATAGCTGTACATTATGATTCTGTATTATTTATCGACATGGCATATCTAGCATGCAGAAACGAAAATCGTTACAATACAATAGAATGTATTTGTAACGTATTCAAGCAATTATTTCGCATGAAAAATATTACAAAGCGCAGAGACCATGTTTAAAATTCAGGAAATCAAGTCATCTAAAACTTTCTTACTTTGTAGAGAGAAAACGGAATCGTGATAACGTCGTACAGTTATAATAAGTAATGTCGTAATACCGGCTAATAATGTACTCTTCGTTTAACGTGTATCTCTACATCATTACTTCTCATGCAGAGAAATCATCATGGTTTTACATTCCCAAGGACTGGCGGAATCTCTACGAAACGCTTTACTGTTAACAATAACAGACGCGGAAAGTATTTCCGGCTCACGAAGGCCGCAAAACCGTACGGCAATTATTATTATTTTTTTTTTAGTTGCCTTTGTAATAGTCGGTTGATAATGCGCTATTAACAACATTGCATGCGGGGGTTACTGATAAATCGATACGGCACGTTGTCAAGACGGGGGACATTACTTCTCGTGACCGCGTCATAAAAGTCTTGTGACGAAGTGATGAATTGCATGCCCGCGGTCGAAGTGCTAAGCTACTTCTATTGTTTCGCTATTGTATCGCGGAAACTGCGTTCTCCACGAAACAGATGTTCGCAGATAAAGCGGGTTTCGAACACGAGCTACCTCGTGAGCCGGTGCCAGTTAACTTTTCTGGCATTAAAGATAGAAAGTTCCGAAATATATTTCATTGCGAGTTTTAATTCAATTTACAACTCCGATCGAATTTTGATGTTAAAGACGGAATCGATATTCGACATCTTGCATACGTTAGAGTCAATTCTTAGAAAGGCTATATATTCGATTGTTTAATTATTAATTACCTATTTGCGAGATTTATAATTGATATCACAGTTGATATCATTTCGATAATGTAATTAATAAGTTTAATTTGATTCTCATCTCTCTCTCATTGCGAGATATGACATAATAATTCATTCACCTCCGTGAAGTTGATCTATTTTCAGAGTTTCGAAAGAAATGGAGTAGAATCGTGTTTCTTCCTCTGCAGAGAGTTCTAAAGTTACAGGTTTATATCCAAATATATAATATTAATTATAATCAATTGAAATTTGAAGATATAGGATTTCTATTCAATTACATTCAATCTTGAAAATGAAATAAATTCACGGAAATAAGTATTTCTAATTTCGTAACAGTTTTTTTTCCAGAAAATAAATGCTACGCGCATCTTTTCACGAGGTAATTAGATTTGATTTCTATTGGCCGGGTGTGCTCCAATGAGAGAAAGAGTGTCATTGTAATCGAAAGTGCTTGAAAAGTCCGCCGATATCGTATTGACGCAATGCGACGCCGAGGTAATGTCATTAAGAAAGTCTTCTCGCACAATGGACAGGCCATGAAAGCTAAGCCCCTCTACCTTGTTATCCACCACAAAAAGCTCTAAGCCCTCTGCAATAATTCAGACTACGTAATAACTTCCTGGAAACTCGAAGTCGAACACGGAAGTATATTAATTACATCCCCGAGTTATTTGCATTCCGTGTGATACCGAACATTTTCTCTTCGAGATGAATTTAGTTTCTAATATAAATAATATCGTAATACCGGGGGAGGGCTAAAACGCGGCATAATAACTGACTACGTAATAACTTTACGTTCGTCGTACTCAGCAGATACGATATATAATTCATGTTTCAGTTTATAAACTCACGGTGAACGTCCTCGTGTTTCGTTGTTATATATACATAATTTGTATGCGCGCGCGCGCGCGTGCGGGGTTAATATCAAATGCAATAAAACTTGTAACGTTTATTACACGGCAAGCCGAGGTGGAGAAAGAGAGAGAGAGAGAGAGAGAGAGGGAAAGAGAGAAAGACGTTGAAAATTTATTATCGGATCTTATTTCGTCTACTCCCCCTAGGCTCTTCTTACTTGGCAGTGTAATTGGCAATATTTAACGTCAGGCAGGGGAGGATTTCGAAAATTTAGGGAGCCCTCGCAAAATTTAGTTCGACGTATCATCCGATTGTATTTAGTTTATAATTTCTGCTCGACGACGTATATACGGTTAATGCCTTAAACGTTCCAACGCCTCCGCCGGGATCGATTTAAGCCCTCAACAGAGAAAATTAACTAAACTAATCACATGGGAAGGTCGGTAGGGGCCGTGAGCTCAGTATTAATGTAATACCACGCCGCAACCTAAAATTATGGAACTTGTAATTATGTAATGCACATAGGCTGTCGCGTCTCTGTCAGTTTAGCCTCTGGTAAGATAAATAAATAGCCGAAGAAACGTTTCGTAATGCCTATCTATTATAGTTAACGCCGAGAAATTGCATTCAAGATAGGAGGTGATAAAGATATATCTCATCGAAATATGCTACATATGATCGGAATATTTTTAATATTAATATTCGGATTTGTATGTATCTATACACATATAGATTATCACGTATATCTGTATAGAGAAATTTATTAAAGCACAAATTAGATAATCTTTAATCTAATTTATATGTATATATCTGTATAGATATATTCGATAAATCAAACTACCTTCTTTCGAGGGCTTTTTCCTCTTCGAACGAACGTGACGTGTAATGATCGCTATGCACATACCATTCGAAGAGGGATCCATTAAGAACCGGTTTCACGCGGATGCACCGAAACGGCTTAACGCAAGCTATTT